GGGGGGGAGGGAGGAAGGAAGGAAGGAAGGAAGGAAGGAAGAAAGGAAGGAAGGAAAAGAGAGAAGGAGGCAGGGCTAAGAAAAGGAAAGAAGGGAGGGAGGGAAAAAGGGAGGAAGAAGGGAAATGAAAGAAGGAAGCAGGGCTAAGGAAAGGAAAGAAGGGAGGGAGGGGAAAAGGGAAGAAGGAGGGAAAAGAAAGAAGGAAGCAGGGCTAAGGAAAGGAAAGAAGGGAGGGAGGGGAAAAGGGAGGAAGGAGGGAAAAGAAAGAAGGAACTAGGGCTAAGGAAAGAAGGGAGGGAGGAGGGAGGGAAAAAGGAAGGAAGGAAGGAAGGAAGGAAGGAAGGAAGGAAGGAAGGAAGGAAGGAAGGAAGGAAGGAAGGAAGGAAGGAAGGCAGGCAGAGCTAAGGGAAGGGAAGAGGGAAAGGAGGGAGGGAAGGAGGAAATGTATAATGATAATATTAATTCTAGTAGGTAGGTGGGTATGTAGGCAGGCAGATGGACAGACAGACAGACAGCAACGTAGTCTTCCAGACACCTGAGTTGTCAAATGCCATTAATCGCAGCCATCTTCATATTTCAATTGAAATCTATTTCAGCAACAGACCTGAAAGCCATTTCGGCTTCAAGAACGAATGCCCTCTGCGCAGCTTGACACAGTTGGCAGGCTCCCTTTTGCAAAAAGACCAATAATAGAAGAAATAGTTACAACCCAGAGGAGTCCACCTGGCAGATCACTTATTCCTGAAATTATGTACTACACAGTTAGAGCAAAAAGAAAAAAAGAAAGGAAGGAAGGGACCTCAAACCGCGCTGCCCAAGGAGCTCGGAGAGTAGGACAACTAGCAATCTTATGAGACCAGAATTTAAAGTAATTTTTTTTCCCCCAAAATTGACAGGTTGCTTCTCGGGTGTATGTTTTTTTTTTTACTGCAGACGTGGTTTCACATGAAATAGGACCGGCCTGATGATGTTTGAAAGGCAACTGTTGTGTCTCTGGTGCAATCAGACGACAATGTTCACGTGGTCAGTGTAAATTTCATTTTTGTAACTGTGGTAACACTGCAAATGTGGGTATTGCTCAACGTATCTCAATGGAGAACAACGTCTTTAGCAAGTGCAGTCGTGGTCAAACTCACTAGTGCAAAAAAAACGTTTTGAGATCTTGGAAAATCAAATGCTGTCAGAGTAAATAGAATCATAAGGCTAGAAGGGACCTTGGAGGTCTTCTAGTCCAACCCCCTGCCCAAAGCAGTTGTCCTTATTCCATCCAGGACAAATGGTGGTCCAATCTTTTCTTGAACACCTCTAGAGAAAGGTCCCAAAGGTGCTTTTTTTGAGAGTCAACTGGACTTTCTGATTTTTCTTTGAAGACGTTTTGCTTCTCATCCAAGAGCTGAAGAAGCTTCTTGGATGAGGAGCCAAATGTCTTCAAAGAAAAAAACAGAAAGTCCAGTTGACTCTCAAAAAAAGCACCTTTGGGACAACCATGACTGAGAAGCTCCATAGACCTTGAAGAAGTCTGGAAGAAGCTTCTTGGATGAGAAGCGAAACGCCTTCAAAGAAAAATCAAAAAGTCCCCTTGAGAAAAAGCATCTTTGAGACAACCAAGACCTGAATGATTGAGAAGCTGCATAGACCTCCAGAAAGAGGGAGCAGATTATCAGGGTCTGGTGGAACTTGATTATATGTTGATGACCCCTCGTTCTTTGCTTGTTATCCCCTTTGACCCCCTGAATAATCACAGGCAAATGTCCAGTTGCCTAAATAGAAATGTCAGCTTTGGAAGCCATATTAGCACCAAACGCTTCCACACTGCCACATTTTGAGCCTGGGAAAATGGGAGGGGGGAATTTCTTGGAGAGTATATTGTTAGACATAACATTCTTTTTCAAATTCAAGGTCACGTTATTTCTGCACCTAAGTGAGGGGAAGTCTCAAGTTGGGACGGATAGTGATTGGGGCATGTGATGTGATGATGGGTGCAGGGGATGGATTTGTAGTTTTTACATATTGCAAAAGGAAGCCTGGAACTTTCAGATTCGGGATTTCCCAGTTATGCCAGTTTACTATCCAATTAAAAGAGAACTTGCCTGTCTCGGAGTTATTGGCTGGAGTGGAATTTTCCTGGAACGCTTCCTGAAGAAGCTAACTCCAGAATGAAACTTGACCTTACAATCTTACAATCAAGGACTCTCACAGCCTGCCAGGTACCTGAAGCAGATCAGAAGAAGTTACACCGAGCCAATTGCCCATCATCGAACAGCAGATGGAGAACCACCTTAGATCTGTTCTGAAATAACCTCTAATAGACCTAGAAACCCTCCTCCAGATGCCCTGTAAGCTCTCGTCTTTTCAGATTACGTGGTTCTCAAACACCACCGTCTCTCCTTTAATTAGCCTCTGATTCTAATTCTCCGCTGAGGAATGACTACTGAAACTTGAAGCCTCCAAGAAGCCTCCAAGCAGATGGCCAAATGGCAGAGAGCATTTTCATCCGTCGGGTGTTTCGCCACGAAGTGCTACATACATTTTGAGGGACAGCTTGTGCTGCTCCTCCTCCTCCTGCCGCCGTGAATGCAAATCCAGCTTCCCTCGGACTTTTTAATCCGTATTTATTCGGGGGCGCTTAGGTTTGTTGTTGTTTTTTTTGCTTTAGCTAAACCGTTCTGATTGCAAAGGCTTGTAATCTGTTCCTGGGCGAGTCGGACTACCCCAAAGCTGAACGGAAAGTTATGAGCAAAGGCCAGCCGCAGAAGAAAGAAAGGATCATATTGCTTATTAAACCCAGCCGCCTACAGCCTGGATCCCCCAGCAGAGAAAAATGAGTCACTGAAAGGTATGAAACAAACTGAAGGGAATTAAAACAGTTTCCATGTTGCTGAAAAATCTGCATTCTCATGCCCACAGGCTGATAAATAAGCAACTACCTCTAGAAAAGAGCCGACAATAGATTATACAGGGTTTTTTCTTTTTTTGCATGCATAGAAAATGGGGATTCCCTGTGTATTTTTGTTTAATATGTTCAGTCTATGGCTTTTTTGCTATTCTGTTTTTTCGGGGTTTAATCCCGGAGTCTCAAAGTTAGACACCATGCACCATGAAATGCTTGTATCGTGTAAAATGCAGAAATTATACATTAGAAGCTAATTAGACTGGAGGCTAAAACATATGAAGAGCAGTTGCAGGAACCGGGCATGTCTAGTCTAATGAAGAGAAAGACTAGCATCTTCCAGTATCTCAGGGGCTGCCCCAAAGAAGAGGGAGTCAAGCTATTCTCCAAAGCACCTGAAGGCAAGACAAGAAGCGATGGATAGAAACTCATCAAGGAGAGAAGCAACTTAGAACTAAGGAGGAATTTCCTGACAGTCAGAAGAATTCATCAGTGGAACAACTTGATTCCAGAAGTTGTGAATGCTCCAACACTGGAGGTTTTAAAAAAGATGTTGGATAACCATTTGTCTGAAGTGATGTAGGGTTTCCTGCCTAGGCTGGACTAGAAGACCTCCAAGGTCCCTTCCAACTCTGTAATTCTATTCTATGCTATGCTATGCTATGCTATGCTATGCTATGCTATTTCTATTTCTATTTCTATTCCTTCCAATATCTATTCTATGCTATGCTATGCTATGCTATGCTATGCTATGCTATTCTATTTCTATTTCTATTCCTTCCAATATCTATTCTATGCTATGCTATGCTATGCTATGCTATGCTATGCTATGCTATGCTATGCTATTTCTATTTCTATTTCTATTTCTATTCCTTCCAATATCTATTCTATTCTATTCTATTCTATTCTATTCTATTCTATTTTATTCTATACTATTTCTATTTCTATTTCTTCCAATATCTATTCTATTCTATTTCTATTTCTATTTCTATTTCTTCCAATATCTATTCTATTCTATTCTATTTCTATTTCTATTCCTTCCAATATCTATTCTATGCTATGCTATGCTATGCTATTCTATTTCTATTTCTATTCCTTCCAATATCTATTCTATTCTATTCT